GAGAGAGAGAGAGAGAGAGAGAGAGAGAGAGAGAGAGAGAGAGAGAGAGTTGACATTGAGACTTGGTGACATTCGGGCATTGCCCAGTTTAGTGACATTGCGGCTTGATATTGTGTGAGCAGCGACATTGGGGATGCATTGGAGATTGGTCCATCGGGCTATGGTGACGGATCCTCCCTATCTCCCTCTTCCCCGTTCGTCTCCTCTCCCTGTTTCTGAGTGATGATGTCTGCTGTCAGGTCCTGTCATTGACCATGTTGAGTCAGATCTTGTTATTACAGTCTTCCGCTGTGCTATTTTTGTATTGTCTCCGAGAGGTCCGTTCTCGGTTCTGATCGATGCCGATTAGGCATGCCATACTGACCCATCTACTGATGATGACTCGCAGGGTGGGGGCAGACTTTCTGTTGCTCTACAGCTCTTGCACATTACCATTCCCACTCTAAGGGGTCAATGAGGAGGTTGCAGATGGGTATCTTTGGATCACAGCGGAACCTGCCCTGTTCGTCATCCCCCGCCACTCTAATCCTTCTCGGTTCTGATCGATGCCGATCAGGCATGCGACACTGACCCATCTATTGATGACGACTTGCAGGGTGGGGGCAGACTTTCTGTTTGCTCTACAGCTCTTGCCCATTACCATTCCCACTCTAAGGGGTCAACGAGGAGGTAGCAGAGGGGTAGCTTTGGATCACAGTGGAACCTGCCCCGTTAGTCATACCCCGCCACTCTAATCCTCAACAACTGCCACAATGCAAGGCTGTGGTCCAGGTTCTCCCTGCTGTTCAGCTGTGACCACCTTGCTCCTGGAAGCACGGGATCAAAGGCCTGAAGGCGGGCTATACCTGTTGTTACCTGTGAGACTTGGACTGTCATGGGGATGGGAAGTGCAGATGATGGTACTACCCAATCCCCCTTTTGGATTGATGGGCCCTTTTTCTGTTCCTTGACCCCAGCCAGTGGAGTGGCATCCTGAATCTTCCTGTGTTTTGCTGATACACCCTTAAAATTCCTCAACTGAACCCTTAATGTGGGCTCCCGATTTCCAATGTGGGCACATCCCACAAATCCCCCACTGTCAACAGGGCCTTCTTTCCTCACTCAAGCTAACGAAGGAGAGTTCTTATGGATGGAGAGAGGCACACACAACTCATCCAGTATTTGAGGGTTTCCGAACAGGGGCTGCCTCCATATTTCATGCCATCTCATTGGGGGCAGCTTCTTCTTAGGACCTGATTGTTTCCTATAGTTGGTCAAACTGGCCTATGCTGACGGTCGCTTCAGGTACGCTGGTTCCACTGTCATAGATAGGAGCTGAAATTTCACAGCACAGGTGAGTCTCTTCTTCGGTTATGTTCTCTGTGGTAAAGCATTTAGGTGGGTTCCATATTGATCCCGCATACCATTATACACATCAAATTACCACTACTCTGTTTGTGAAAGAGGTAGAAACTTTCTTCCATCCAGTTAGTATATTAGTCCCTTTGGCTAGTAACTGGAAGCCGTTTCTTGAGCTGAGCCCCTTCCATCACGATCACACCTGAGAAACACAAAACTTTACCTGGGCGGATGGGCTAGAAGGGTGATGCAGTTGCAGCTGGTGCCCACTGAGATGACTAGGCTTGTATCCCCTTAGGAAGTAATGCCCAACTTGACAATGATGGAGTGATGCTTCTGTACGAGAAGGAAAGTACTATTCAGTGCCAGTGATAGGTGAACAAAGCCTGGGTGCAACCCCATCTTCTCAACTGCAAGGTTTCTAGTGCCATCTATAAAGGGCATCTTTTGGGCTTTGGAATGCCTGCTGCGAGTAACCCCTGCAGGACAATAATGTCATCTTTGAAAAACTTTGGAGTCGTATTCACAAAAAAAAAAATTATGTGCAAGAGGGAAGAGAAGAGTGGTTACCTGCCCTACGCCGATACGCTTTCAGATGCATGCAATAAGAAAACGCCTGAAGTTTTCGGGAGGACAACCCACTGAACATGGGCAAATCACGAAGGAAGCGGACCTTCGCTTCAAGTTCTTTGTATTGCACATCCTGCAGGCCACAAGCAAGATACAGGTTCAATGTCAAAACTATCCCCCTGTTGAATATCAAACATGAAAAGAATGGGTGGCGAAGGGGGGTCTGTTAACCACTAGTGCTGAACTCTCAGTGGTATTATTCCATCAAGAGGGCACGGATGCAGTGTGATACTGGACAAATCCAATACCATGTCAATGTAGGGGTGCAGCATCAATGGATAGTCAAATTTCAAAAGTATTGACGCTGCTACTCCCCATGCTGCTACTCCTCCCAGCCTCCCAGGAGCTGATGTTTCCAACACTGTCACCACCACCACATGCACAAGCTGTGTCGCTTTATTTGCCATCAAGAGATGCTTTTTCAGTTTCAACATCACCACAATGCAAAGGAGATCTGAAGCCACAAATTCACATAAATGATAACTAGGGAGTGTTGGGAAAAGAAAAAAAAAAAATTATCGAAATCTAAAAGCTGTTATGTCCTCTGGCAGACTCGAACACCAGAGCTGAGAGAAGAGAGAGGGTCAGGGCAAGCTGACAGTCAATCCTCCACGAATATGGAGTAATCAATGCTGTTCAGGGGTCCTTCGGCCAAACGGAAGGAAGCGTGTGTGAATTCTCATTTGATGTAAAAAAAAAATTATGAAAAAAAGAAAAAAAGAAAAAAAAAAGCTGTTATGTTCTGCTCCCTTTGTCTGGATTGTGCTGCAGTGGCTGTGTTGACAATCAGTAAATTCATTCACACTGTAGCATGGGATGCGTTACATGCCTCTCTTTTGCCATCATTCAATGCGTCAGACACAGGGAGTGAAAGACTCGGTATGGAACCCTGAGGTACTTCCAGGTATCATGACTAGGTGAAACAAGCAATTGGCTCCAGCTTTGCACTGAAGATGCGTTCTGAAATTCACCAGGTGGATGGTGATAACACCATTTCGACTATTTTGAGTGACTTATTAATGGATGTCGTCATGCTCATTACAATGGTCACTTTGACATCACCATCACCATCAATCAATCATCATCACCATCGTCACCGTCATCATCATCATCATCATCATCATCATCATCATCATCATCATCATCATCATCATCATCACCATCATCACTGTCATCATCATCATCATCACCATCACCATCACCATCACCATCACCATCACCATCACCATCACCATCATCATCACCTTCACCTTCACCATCACCATCACCATCACCATCACCATCACCATCACCATCACCATCACCATCATCATCATCATCACCTTCACCTTCACCATCACCATCACCATCACCATCACCACCATCACCATCACCATCACCATCACCATCACTATCATGACCATCACTATCATGACCATCACTATCATGACCATCACCATCACCATCACCATCACCATCACCATTACCATCACCATTACCATCACCATCATCACATCACAGTCGTGATGACCATTGTGGCAAAACATACGGGTTCTTTTGCCATTATCATCACCATGACCATCATCATCATCATCATCAAGTTTCCGTTACGCATCTTCTTCCTCCTTCCATCCCCACTGCCCCTTCTCCTTCCGCCTTCTTTTTTTTTTCTTTTTTTTTTGTTTAAACAAAGGCCTGTACAGATGTTACATGCCCAGTTGGGCAATGTACATAATAACTGAGGATCCACAATGTGATAAAAAGACTGAATGGACAATGCAGTGCAAGTGGAATCTCAACAAGCAATGTGCATTCTGATACATACAAAATGGTGCTTTATAGTGCAGTGGAAGACTTAGATACAAGTCCTGACCTGACCGGGACTGACCTCTTTCACGTAGTACAAGATAGCGAAGCAGAATGCTAGAATACTAATGACTAGCCCAATCAATGTTTCAAATTCCAATGCAGACCAAACGTACATCATGCTCATCACAAGGTGTGAAGGGGCACGGCGCTATACACAGGAAAGAAGCGCCAGGTCCAGACATACACAGACGAAGAGGAGGGGATCAGACGAAGACGAGGAAGGGGGTGATGGGAAAGTCGTCAACACCAAGTCTCGTTACAAGTCCCAAATAATCCCTCTTCAAAGTGTCTGAAGTCCAATGTCGAGTCTGGATCCAATGTCACCAAGCTCTCTCTCTCTCTCCCTCGTAGTCTGGTGGACTGAGAAGAGGAAGAAGAAGAACTCTCTCTCTCATATGCCAGGTACTAACCTGTGACGTTGGCGCTGTGCTGCAGGTACCTCGAAGACGAAGCTGGAGCAACGACGCTGCAGGTAAGTCCTCCTGGCCTCTGCCCAATCTCTCTCTCTCTAGTACTACTCTAGCTGCTATGGCGCCCAGCGCTGAAGACTACAGCTAACGCGACTAGCGCCCAGCGCTGAAGACTAATGCTAACGCTACTACTACTACTAAGGCGCTCCTCCAGAGTGCTGCTGCCGAATCCTGAAGACTACTGACTGCCTCCTGCCTTGCACATGAAGTGCCTGGGAAGTACCTAGGAACTACCTAGCAACTACCTGCCTCCTGCAGGGCGGGCCAGTCTTATATAGTGCTGGCCCGTCCAGGAGGCTGCTCTTGCCAATGCCAAAACGTGCCAGACCCTGGGGTTGAAGCTCAAACAAAGGTTATCTTGAAAATAGGCCAAAAATGGCCTGAGCTAAAACCCCGGTCTGGTGCCTGAGTTTCAGGGCAGGTCGAACTGATGAGGGCCTGAAAATGGCCCTCAGTTTCAGGCTGAAAATACTAAGGGCCGGAAAGGCCCTGATTTAGCCTGAAACGACACAGGGCGTGTAGGCCCTTGTTTTCAGGCTTTCAGGCTGAAACGACACAGGGCCTGTAGGCCCTTGTTTTCAGGATTTCAGGCTGAAAACAACACGGGCCTGAAAATGGCCCGTGCAGCCTGTTGCAGGCGCAGCATGTAACAACAGATCTGCTAGGGGAGGTGATAAAAGCAGCCCTCCCTAGCAGCCTGTTGGCGTCCGCTCCATATATTGGTGGGGAGCTTCACCTGCTGGAAATCGGGTCCAGCGTCCCTTGAGTACATGCATATTTGAACATCTGGTTTGAGCATCCTTGACCTCCTTAGCCCTTGGGAATGCACGACGCACCTTTTCACCCTTCGATTGGGTGCCAGGTATGCCAGATGACTAGCTAGTGCTGTCTGCATTTTAAACCATAAGCCCTTTTCTGCTTCTTTTGTACCCTAGTCCTCCTCTCTGCTCTTGCCAATGTCCTTTGCCCCTTGCTCACCCCTTATACTTGCCCATTCCTTCACCTTTAAAAAAAAAAAAAAAAAAAAACAGGTCCTTATGGCCCTGGCTCCATTTCCATTCTGGGGAGCATCAGTCCGGTTCCTTCTTTTCTTTTTTTTTTCTTTTTTTTTTTTTAACAACAAAAGATGGTGGTAATTGGCTCCTTTCTGAATAGGGCTAGGACATTTAGAACTATTCCGGGTACTGAATTTCTTTTTTTTTTTTTTTTGGAAAAAGCTG